TGTATTATTAATTATTAAGTCTAAATTATATGAAGAATCGAATTGACCACATTCTAATCTCCATGTATTACCGTAAATACAGTCTACGTAATTGTTATCCAACTATCACTTGTTTAAGTTACAATATGCAACTCCTCTATATATAATATACTCATTACATTAGGACTTGGTGTACACTAATTAGTCAAGCCAGGAGTAAACTTGATGCCGGTAGCCGGAAGCCACGCCATCCCGTCAAGAAACCGGGCCACGGTGAAGAACCCGGCTGTCGAGGCATCCCGAATAACATGATAACCGGGCCACCGCACCCTACCGAGAAGCGAAGCCCCCGGCCCGTAGTTTTTGTACTCACCGTACCACAATGTCGCCAACCCAAAGTCCCCGTACCACTCGAGCCACCCCCTTGGCTGCACCATTGGGCTCATGTACGTGTTGATAAACACGGTCCGGGAGTACATCTTCCAGGGCCGGCCCAGGTAAGTGGGCCGAGTCGCGTACACGTAGCTGTCCTGGATTGTGAAGCCCGTGGCCTGGCGAGGGTCCTTGCGGCCCTGCGCATATGATTGTAAACAAACATTTCGTGATTCAAATTCTGTATTCGTAAAAATTCGAACTTGAATAAAAAAAGTTTTTAGTATACAAAGTTTGTACGTATTTGAATCGGAATGTGCACATATTCAATTCGAAAAATATTCGATCTGGTAATAATAGTTATCTTAAATAGTTAAATGTAATATATTATATAAAATATGATTTTTTTCTATATAATGAAATATTAATTATAAATATAAAAAGATAAATTACATTTTAAAAAAATACATATATTTTTTTAAAACCAATTTTGAATAGACCAAAAAATATTCAACTATCCTTAATCGAATCGAATATGAATTACGAAACAAAATTTGATTATGAATCAAATATGAATAAGAACGCTCAAATATTTTCACGTATCTAAATCGAACAGTTGAGTATTCGTTTTGACTCGGTTCGTTTACAGCTCTACCTGTGCGGTGATGGTGACCTTCTGGAGAGGCAGCGGGTCCCGCGTGAGGATGCGGCAGTTTTGGAGGACAGCAGCGCCGTTGCCGAACACGAAGTCAATTGTGCCGGAGACTGTGCATTCGCGGTAGAACTGGCGAAGGGAGTGGGCATAGAGTGTGTCCTGATGACCTTCCATGCTGCAACGGTAGAAGGTCGATTGGTCCGAGTCGACTCGGAGAGCGACTCCTTGGTGGTTCTCGGGGCCCGCCGTGTTTCGGAAGGTGATGTCCCTTGCGATAAACCCCTTACCTGAGACAGCTGCGTGTGTAGATCGTTGGATTTTCATGAAAAATACGTTAACATACAGAAAAAAATAGAATGTACGTACATTAGTGGCAATTTTTAGTTTTTTTTTTTTCTCTTTATGGAAACACCAACAAGTGAATTACCATTCGATGAACCTACCAAATTTGATTGACGACGAAACATAGAGTATATCAAAATTGATTAGGTTTGTATAATATATTTTGAAAGTTACCAAATGTGGCGGTTCGAAACGTCGTCCACCCTTGCTTGAAGTTCCGATTCCCCGTGATAATGGTTTTCCCGATTCCATCCCCAACGAGCATGATGTTTGTTTTCTTCCTCTTCATGTCTATATTCTCCTTGTAAACTCCTGCCTTCACATGTATCACGTACCTCCTCACATTATGGCTCGGTGCCTCAGCTATCGCTTGCCCTATCGACCGGTAGTCCCCACTCCCATCCAATGCCACCGTTGAGTCCACATGCATGTTGCGATTAGGACTCGAGGCAAGCATTTCCTTGTCCCCTTCGCTCATCCATTTCGGGAAATCCCCGAAATCTACGTTCTCTTCATAATAATCACGATTACTATTGTAACTACCATAGTTACTTTTTTGGGCCGGCTCGAAAGGTGGGTGGTTCATTTCGGAGTACAACGTGAGCACGTTCCCTATGAGTTGAGTTACTTGAGAGAGGCTTCCTCTCAAGAGACGCTCTAGCCGTCGGCCGGTC